ACCTTGATTACTAAAAAGGAGGCCTCTGTGTGCCATGCCCTGTGCATCCCCTTTCGCATCACTCCATTCATGGTCCCAACAACACTGTCGAGTTGGGGTAACTCCACCTGACAGCTGAGAAAACAATGCAAGTCACTTGCTCAAGGACACAGCAAGTCAGCAAAGCTGGGGTTTGAACCCATCCTGCCAGAGGCACTTGGTACCTAGTGCTCTTGCCACAGCAGCAGAGCCCTCTAAGGGAGGAGGCGTGATCTGAGGCCCCTGGATGTGGACAGATGGACACTGCCCCTCAGAGTGGGCCTGCCTGGGAAAGAAGCTGGTATGGGGTGGGACTTCACACTTGTCCCCATCTGCACTCTTCCCTTCCCCCTCCCCCACCACGTGACATTCAAAACCAGGAGGATGGTGCTCTGGTCCCAGAAGTCTTGGTTACAGTTGGCTTTAACCCATGCCCCCCCCCCCCAGCAGCTTTGGGGGTCTGGCGATCTAGAGAAATGCCCCCCACCAGTCCTCCATCCACACCTTCTCCAGCCTTGGGGGGCAGGGAGGGGACACAGCGCTGCATCATTCCCCGTGGCACTCCTCGCTAAGGCCATTAACAGACGCCTCCCCATCGATCGCATCTGCTAAGTGCTGCTGATTCAGACGGGTGGGGGTGGGGTCCCCTAGGGGCAGGGGGGTAGGAGCTGGGCAGGGAGAGGGGGAGTCCAGGAAGGAGGTGGGGAGAACTGGCAAAGCTCCCTACCACCCCCATTTTCCAGATGACGCGACTGAGGCCCAACCAGCTTTATAGGAGGCGGAGTCTCCCCAGGGTCCCTCTCAGGCGGTCCTAGGGGAGGGGGCTCTGGGAGCCACGAGGCCCCTCCCTGCCTCGCCATCTCCCGGCAAGCTCAGAGGGGCGGGGAGAGAGAGCCAGAGGAGGAGGAGAACTCGGGCAGCTCTGCAGAGGGGGGCAGGAGCTCCGGTGTTTGGTACCCCCAGCCCCTCCGCTGTTGCCGTTTGCTGCAGTGGGGACACAGGTGAGGTCGGCCCTGTGGGTAGTGGGAGGGGGCCACTAACAGCGCTGCCCTTGCCCTTCCCTGGTCCAGCTCCCACGCCCTAGCCCATCCTGGGACAGTCCCCCTGGGTCCTGCTGGACCTCGTCCTTGCAGAGCCTCCTTCCAGGGACCCAGCCCCCTCCCCTGTCTGTGCTGCCTTCTCTCCCAGGCCTGGCTGTGGCTGCTTCTCCTCCTCCTGCAGCCGCTGCTGCTACTGCTGCTGCCCAGCGCACACCACCAGCCCCTCGGGGTGTGGTTTCCCCAGACCAGCCCCCAATAGTGGGACGCAGCCTTATCTTGGCTTCCCTCATCAGCCTCCTGTAAGGCCCAGCAGCCCCTCTTCCTGGAGACACACCCAACTCCCTTTCAACATCCCACTCCAATTTCCAACCCATTTTGGGGAGAACCCCCTTTTCTTCTTAGTCTTTTTCAATCCTCTGGGTCTGTGTCCAACTTCCTTCCAATTGAGCCCAGCCCCTTGGGGTTCCCCGGGTCCCTTTCCTCTCCCTGGAACTCCTGAGAGTGGAGCAGGCTTTCTCAGTCCCCCAAGATACCCCTCTCCCCCAGACACGCCTCAGCCTCTGAAAAATAACCTTGCCCTTTCTCTACCCCGTTAGACACCTCACTCCCTTCTCCAGCCCCACTAGGAGCCCCACCTCTCCTTCCTTCCCCAAACTCCTGTAGAATGTAGACACCCCCCTCAGGCTATTCTTGGCAGCTCTAGGCACTCCCAAGACACCTCTCAGCCTCTTTACAACCTCCTGGCTCTATAGACATCCCTCAGGTGCACCAACCCCTTTCCTAGATCCAAGAAGGGATTTCAACCCCCTTATCTTTTCCCAGAAGTCTTCAGGGTGTGGACCACCCTCCTCACCTTTCTCACCACCACCCCCTAGCCTAGAACTCCCCTCCAGACCCTGATCTCAGCCTCTTCAAACACTTCTGGTCCTATTTCTACCCTCCAGAATGCCCCAATCCCCTCTCCAATGCAGCTAAAGAGGTCTAGCCCCTTCTTCCATCAGAACTGAGTGTAGACAGCTCCCGTGTTTCTTGCCCCCACTAGATACCCTCAGATATCTCAGGCACACGCTGACCCCTCTAGAATCATCTCAGTCTCTAAACGCTCCCTCAGATCCTTCTCTGTCCCTCCAGACGCCCCTTCTCTGCTCCTTTCTATGTCCCCTAGCCCCTTCTCAGTCCCTCAAGACATCTGTCTGGTCCCTCCCAGGCCCTCTAAATGCCCTCCAAGCCCCTGCCCCTGTCTCTAGTTCCTCCTCCAGTTTCCTCTTGGCCTCTCTAGACATCCCCAGTTTCCTTGTGTGAGTGGCCCCGGGCCCCTCCAAGCCCCCACCATCCTGGAGACAGCCACATTCTCCTAAAGGCCAGCCCCCCAAGTCTCCTAGGGCCTGGGGCGCGCGGCAGGATGGCGGCAGGCGTGGCCACGTGGCTGCCCTTTGCGCGGGCGGCTGCGGTGGGCTGGCTGCCCCTGGCCCAGCAGCCCCTGCCCCCGGCACCAGGGGTGAAGGCCTCTCGAGGGGATGAGGTTCTGGTGGTGAACGTGAGCGGACGGCGCTTTGAGACCTGGAAGAACACGCTGGACCGCTACCCGGACACCCTGCTGGGCAGTTCGGAGAAGGAGTTCTTCTACGATGCTGACTCGGGCGAGTACTTCTTCGATCGCGATCCGGACATGTTCCGGCACGTGCTCAACTTCTACCGCACCGGCCGCCTGCACTGCCCGCGGCAGGAGTGCATCCAGGCCTTCGATGAAGAGCTGGCCTTCTACGGCCTGGTGCCTGAGCTCGTTGGCGACTGCTGCCTGGAGGAGTACCGGGACCGTAAGAAGGAGAACGCCGAGCGCCTGGCGGAGGATGAGGAGGCCGAGCAGGCCGCCGAAGGGCCAGCCTTGCGGGCCGGCAGCTCCCTGCGCCAGAGGCTCTGGCGGGCCTTCGAGAACCCGCACACTAGCACCGCGGCCCTCGTGTTCTACTACGTGACCGGCTTCTTCATCGCCGTGTCAGTCATCGCCAACGTTGTCGAGACCATCCCGTGCCGAGGCCCCACGCTGCTGTCCCCCCCCAGGGAGCATTCGTGTGGGGAACGCTTCCCGACGGCCTTTTTCTGCATGGACACGGCCTGCGTGCTCATTTTCACGGGTGAATACCTCCTGCGGCTCTTTGCTGCCCCCAGCCGCTGCCGCTTCCTACGGAGTGTAATGAGCCTCATAGACGTGGTGGCCATCCTGCCCTATTACATCGGCCTTTTCGTGCCCAAGAATGAGGATGTGTCCGGCGCCTTTGTCACCCTTCGCGTGTTCCGGGTGTTCCGCATCTTCAAGTTTTCCCGGCACTCACAGGGCTTGCGAATTCTGGGCTACACACTCAAGAGCTGTGCTTCTGAGCTGGGCTTCCTCCTCTTTTCCCTCACCATGGCCATCATCATCTTCGCCACTGTCATGTTTTATGCCGAGAAGGGCACAAAGAAGACTAACTTTACTAGCATCCCCGCAGCCTTCTGGTATACCATTGTCACCATGACCACACTTGGGTGAGTGCAGACCCTGTGTTGGGAGCTGCCCGATCAGTCAGTTACACTCACCTTTTCTGTAAAAGAAGGTTAGGTAAATGATCTGTTTGAGCTTCAGTTTGCTCATCTGTAGAAACTGAGGGAGTTGGACTAATCTTCAAATCCCACCCAGCTTTGACAATGACTTGGGTTCAAGGATTGTCTTAGCTGTACTCTTTCTGTTGACCTTGTGTTCTCTGGGCCTGTTTCCCCTCTGTAACATGAGAAAATGATCCTTTTTGAGAGGCTTTATGGACATCGTGGTTGTGAAAGTTTCTGGTACAGGGATAAATAGGTATTGGTTTTGTATCACCCCCTTTTCCATCTTGAGAACCCACAAACTCCCAAACCTCTACAAGCATAGTGTGGGACACTACCTCTGTGGCTCTCCAGAATAAGATATTTTCAGCATCATTTTTTTTACTGACAATCCTTGAAAGAAAATAGTTGGGCTAAAAACATCAAATGGAAACACGAAACTCATGTTCTTGAAGACACTGTCTAGGGCAGAGACTGTGAGCCTGTCCTAATTTCTGTCACCGGGATTAGGTATATACAATATCATTGAAGGGATGGATTGAGCTTGCTCAGGGATTTAATAGAGGTATAGAAAAGTTGATTTGAGGTTTCTAAAGTGTAGAAATTAATTCTGGTTGGAGGTTCAGGATTAGGTCGACAAACAAATACTGAGCCTTGAAAATGGATTGGAACTGAGTATTTTGATGCCTTTTACCCTGTTTAGTCTTTTTGTTTTTTTTTACCCTATTTAGTCTTCACAACAACCCTGGGTGGGTGGGCAGCTGCCCACGTCTCCTAGTTGAGGATACAGTCTGAGTTGACACATCATAGAGCCAGAAATGCCCAAGTTGGAAAGACTTGTAAATAAGTCAAAATAAAAAAATAAACAAATGAGTCAAAATAAATAAGGAAGAGCCATGAGGGGTGGGGCACAGCTTGAGCAAAGGCTTAGAGACTTAAAACTGCAGAGGCTGCACTTTTGTGGAGGGAGTCTGATTGGTCCTGTGGTTAGGACTAAAGGATGCTGTGTGATCTTGAGCAAGTCAGTTATGGAACCTCCCTGACTTTGGTTTGCACTCCCTCTGTGAGACAAGGTGGTAAGATTGGCTCTGCTCCATCTCCATGGGTAGGGGATGGCACGGAGAAACATGTGAGGACAGTTTTGGGGTTTCCCTGGGGGAACAGGAAGGGGTCCTACCTAGAGAAGGTAAGACAGATTTAAGCAAAACCACCAGAGCATTGCTGCAGGGATCCAGAGCCCTTTAGCTGGCTGGTAGTGGTGGAACTCCCTCTCCATGAGGCCATGTTTACTGCCTGTAACTTCCTCCTTCTCCCCCATGCTGGGTATTAATAGATTTCCAGCTGATTCAGATGCCTGCACAGCTAGCATGGGGGCAGCAGATGGTAGGGGCTGAGGCCCCATTCTCATTTGACCCCCACTGGTGGCCAGAAAGGTCATCCCTCACATTTTGCAGAGCAAGAAACTGAGGCTCAGAGAGTTAGAGTGCCTGGCCAAGGTCACAGAATGAGTTGGAATGAATGGGATGCAGTGGGGGACTGAGGGGTAGGTGGGAACTTTTCTTGACCTTGACTTACCTCCTCTGGCCCCAGATATGGAGACATGGTGCCCAGCACCATTGCTGGCAAGATTTTCGGATCCATCTGCTCACTCAGTGGTGTCCTGGTCATCGCTCTGCCTGTGCCAGTCATTGTTTCTAACTTCAGCCGCATCTACCACCAGAACCAGCGCGCTGATAAGCGCCGAGCACAGCAGGTAGATGCACCTTCCAACTCCTATTCCCCCCACCCCAAGCCAGTCAATCACCTCTTGTGTTTACCCACCTGACTCTTTCCCTCCTCTCTGTAGAAGGTGCGCTTAGCAAGGATCCGGTTGGCAAAGAGTGGCACCACCAACGCCTTCCTGCAGTACAAGCAGAACAGGGGCCTCGAGGTGAGTAGGTCCCAGATTGGGGTTGGTCATGAGCAGTGATGGGAGGAGGAAGGTGCTGACCTCATTTGTCTGCTCCATCCACTCCAGGACAGCGGCAGTGGGGAGGAACAGGCCCTGTGTGTCAGGAACCGTTCTGCTTTTGAGAAACAACATCACCACTTGCTGCACTGTCTAGAGAAGACAACGGTGAGGCCTAAGGAGAAGTGGCATGGCAGAATGAAGGGGATCTCTCTGCCACCAAGCCAGCTCCCCCCTGTGGACTTGGAGGCTCACTACTAATTGTGGAAATCACCCGGGGCTTCCTAGAAGAGGCCTGATAGCTCTATCAAGCTGAGCCTTGAAGGGTGGGCAAGGGAAGGAAAGAGGGAGCAACTTCCAGAAAGGAGGGAAGGGCATAAGCAAAGGCCTGGTGGTGGCGGCAGCTCCTATGTGGTGCCTTGTGACCGTGCCTCCCTTCTTCCCACAGTGCCATGAGTTCACAGATGAGCTAACCTTCAACGAGGCCCTGGGTGCTGTCTCGCTGGGTGGCCGCACCAGCCGCAGCACCTCTGTGTCCTCTCAGCCAGTGGGGCCTGGCAGCCTGCTATCCTCTTGCTGCCCCCGCAGGGCCAAGCGCCGTGCCATCCGCCTTGCCAACTCCACTGCCTCGGTCAGCCGTGGAAGCATGCAGGAGCTGGACACTCTGGCGGGGCTGCGGAGGAGCCCTGTCCCTCAGAGGTAAGAAACCCCCACCCCCTGGCCATCCCTGAGGAAGCTCAGAGCTTAGACCAGAGGGTCTGAGATTTCATGACTTCAGGCCTAGCAAGTCAATCTCAAACCCAAACTCCTCCATGCTGGGAACTTGGGCTTATCTTGTCTGGAACTCCTTGTTCTTCATTCATTCTCTTGTCATTTATTGAGCACCTACTATATGCCAGGCAGAGCTTTAGGCACTTTGGAGTTCACTTTAGGCAGAAATCCCTGACCTTCTGGAACTTATATTCTAGTGGGATGTGACCGTTAATAAACAAATACACAGATGATGCAGTGTGTTAAATGCCAAGGAGAAAAATAAATCAGGAATGGGGGACAGAGAGAGTAGAACAGGGTATGACGTAGTTTTAACCGTGTGGTTAGGAAAAGCTTTGCTGAGGTGATATCTGAGCCAAGACCTGAAGGAGGTGAAGGGGTGAGTCATGTGATATCTAGAGGAAGAGCTTTTCAGGCAGAGAAAACAGCCTGTGCAAAGACCCCCGAGGCAGGACTAGGTCTGTGTCTCTAATAAGGAACCAGAAAGCTACTGTGAGTAGAGTGGAGTGAGGGAGGGAGGGAGTGGTGGGAGGTAAAATCAGAAAGGAACAGGGACCAGATTATGTAGCTCTCTTACTGTACACTATTGTGAAGACTTAGGATTGTAAGGAGTCTATCATAATAGATGTTTTGTGTCTGTGTGCCCATTGTGTTCCAGGCACTATTCCAGTGATGGCGAACCTACGATACGCGTGTCAGAGGTGACCCGCGAACTCATTTTTTTGGTTGATTTTTCTTTGTTAAATGGCATTTAAATATATAAAATAAATATCAAAAATATACATCTTTGTTTTACTATGGTTGCAAATATCAAAAAATTTCTATATGTGACACGGCACCAGAGTTAAGTTAGGGTTTTCCAAAATGCTGACACGCTGAGCTCAAAAGGTTCACCATCACTGCACTATTCTGAGCACTTTGTATCATTTATTATCTCAATTAATGTTCACAAGAACCCTGTGAGGTAGGAATACAATAGGTTCTTGAATAAAATCATTTTGTTCAATGTCGTTTTATTTTCTTGTCTTTGTTCTTTATAAATTACCATTTACATTCAGTATTATTTGTATTAGTTTCAGGTATACAGCATAGTGGTTAGACAATCATACTTTATAAAATGTTCCCACCAATATTTCCAGTACCCACCTGGCCCCATACATAGTTATTAGAATATTATTGACTATATTCCCTATGCTGTACTTTCATCCCCATGACTACTTTGTAACTACCAATCTGTACTTCTCAATCCCTTCACCTTTCTTCACCTAGTCCCCCAGCTCCCCTGCCCTCTGGCAACCACCAGTCTGTTCTCTGTATCTCTGAGTCTGTTTCAGTTTTGTTTGTTCATGTATATTATTCTTTAGATTCCACATATAAGTGAAATCATATGGTATTTGTCTTTTTTGTTGTTGTTGTTAATACTCATCTGAGGATATTTTTCCATTGATTTTTAGAGAGTGGAAGGGAGGGGGAGAGACAGAGAAAGAAACATTGATGTGAGAGAGACATCGATTGGTTGCCTCCCCCATGTGCCCTGACCAGGGCCGGGGATGGAGCCTGCAACCTAGGTATGTGCCCTTGACCAGAATCAAACCTGGGACCCTTCAGTCCATGGGCTGACACTCTATTCACTGAGCAAAACCGGCTAGGGCTGGTATTTGTCTTTCTCTGTTTGATTTATTTTACTTAGCATAATTCCCTCTAGGTCCATCCATGCTGTCACAGATGGTAAGATTTCATCCTTTTTTAATGACTGAGTAATATTCCCAGTACCATTTTGTTATAACATTGGTGAAATGACTAGAAACTTAACCCTTGTTTTTATTAATTAGCCTGTGGTAAAATTTGGTGTACATCATTTCACTTAAAGTTACAGAACTTGCCCTAGCCAGCTTGGCTCAGTGGATAGAGCGTCAGCCTGCGGACTGAAGGGTCCCGGGTTCGATTCCGGCCAAGGGCACATGCCTGGGTTGCGGGCTCGTTCCCCAGTAGGGGGTGTGCAGGAGGCAGCCAATCAATGATTCCCTCTCATCATTGATGTTTCTATCTCTCTCTCCTTCTCCCTTCCTCTCTGAAATCAATAAAGAAATATATTTTTTAAAAAAGTTACAGAACTTATTAACGATGTTAAGTGAGGACTTACTGTATTATTATTCACATGAGAGAAAAGAGAGGTTTACAGTAGTAAAATTGGGATCAGGATTCGAACCCAGGACTGCCTAACTTCAGAGCCCTCACAGTGATTGGGGGTGCAGGAGAACCATTTAGCACAGTGCCAGGGATCCAGTAGATGCTCAATAAATGTCATGATTGCTGTAGCAAGTATTAAGATGACTTTTTAAGAACCTTCTGTCTTCCCACCCTTATCCACAGCCGCTCAAGCCTCAATGCCAAGCTCCACGACAACCTTGACCTGAACTGTGACAGCCGGGACTTTGTGGCTGCCATCATCAGTATCCCTACCCCTCCTGCCAACACCCCAGATGAGAGCCAACCTTCCTCCCCTGGTGGTGGTGGCGGTGGCGGGGCCAGCAGCACCCTCAGGAACTCTAGCCTGGGTACCCCTTGCCTCCTCCCTGAGACTGTGAAGATCTCTTCCCTGTGAGGGTTAGGCCCAACCATCCAGAGGGCCCTCTTGATTCTTGGGGACTCCTTTCCAAAGCCATATTTTTGGGGAGACAGACAGGGGCAGGCCTGGGGAAACCCTTCTGCCCCCCACCCCTATTGAAAACTATGCAATGGAGTTGCATGGAATGGCCTACCTTGTGGGGAATGTAGCCAGGGAATGGGACACCTCCCCCACCCCAGACAGATTTCCTGGTGGGAGCTGAATTGCTAGGCTTCCTCAGGCCCCAGCACACTGGGACCAGACCCTCCCCTCAGCTGGCCTCCTGCATGCTCCTCCCCTTGGGTCCTCAGGCTCCCACCTGACATCTGAGCTCTAGCCTGAGAAGAGGTGAGACTTCCTCTTCTCTCTGTCAGGGGGCTGTGGAGGTTTGGGGATTCCGGGAAGAGAACCATTACCTCTTATCTGGCCTCCAAGAGAGGTCCCCACCCTCCACCAGGCCCAACAACACCTAAATTCCAAAGCTTGGAATGCAACCACAGGCTTCATGGGCTGTGGCCTCAGCAGTGACCTTCTACCCCCAGGCCTTGCCTCGGGGGTCAGGCTGCCTCTCCCAACACACATGGATAGCACAAACACTACCCCCCTTCTCTGGCTGCTGGAAATGGGTCCTTGCAACTCCATCCTCTGCTGGGCCCCCAGCAAACTCTAGCAATAGCAGCTGCTGCTGTGACATTATGCAAAGCCTCTGCCCAGTTTGCTGCATTTACATCTGCCCTAATCAGAGGGGCCACCTCTAACACTCCTCCTTCTCTCCCCTCTGGTTTGCTTCTTTCCTGGGTTGGGCCGGAGTCTGGACTGGCTGAGATAAGCACCTGGCAACCAACAGGGGTTGGGCTGGGTTTGGAGATCATGAGCTGATTCCTTGTGCTTGGGCAGGAGTCCAGAAGCGCCAGGGGCTGAGGCCTGGGTTGTTCTTGAACTCTGGGAGTTGTAGAAGGCAGGAGGAACTTCTCTCCTCCTCCCCACAACACCTTTTCACATATTCCTCTCTCTTCTCCCTCTTGGGTCACCTTCCGGAACTCTGTGTTTGCTCTCAGGCTGATTATCTGGCATCATCTCAGGTTCCCTGTCCCCGTGGAGCTGGTGGCTGACAAAGATGTAGTTTTCATCAGTCAATAAAACCTGAGAGGAGAGATGAGAATGACCATCTCCTGGCTCAGTGGCTTTGGGGGCTGGGGAGGGCTTGGGGAGTTAAAAGTACTCTAATTTAAATTCCTTTCAACTAGTAGAAGGGCTAGTGTGGGTGAAGGTATGGGAGGTAGATGGTTGGTGATGTGTTCTGGAAGATGAGGATCTAGGAGAAATGAAAAAGCGGGGCTTGAAGAGTTGACTCTCTAGCCAGTGAGGCAGGCTAGGAGGTCCTGAGACATGCCTCCTTGGACATCATCTGCTCCAGCTTCCTCACTCCCAGATGAGGAAACTGAGACCCAGAGCAGCACATGCTTGGTTTGGGGGAGACTTAAACCCTGGTTTCCTGACAGAAAACGGTTCTGAATTGAACCCTGATGGAAAGCATCTCTCAGTGTGGCAAATCCCCCTTCCTACATTTTCTCTTCTGGACTACTAGGTAGATTAGGCTAGTGTGTGACCGAGCTCTGTGGAGAGAAGACAGACCCTGGATTCAGGTCAACCTGAATTCCAATCCCTGGGAAAGAGAATGACTTACCTTTTCTTACCCCAGGCTGCTAATCTGTGAAACAGAGAGAATCATTTCTTTTGTTCACCAAATATTTATTAACTGGGTATCATGTGCTAGCCCTAGGGGTACAGAGATGGACAAAGTAGACATCATTTCTATTCTACAGAAGTGAACATGGAAGGCAACTAAGCAATTACAATATAGTGCAGGGGAACTAAGATCGATGGATTACAGAAGCATGTAGAGAATCTAACCTGGCCAGCACAGGAAGAATGAGGGGCAGTTAGCCAGGTGAAAGACAAAAGGGTAAAAATGTTTCAGGCAGAAGGAACAGCATGTGCAAAGGCCTGGAGGTTAGAGAGCGAGCTTGGGGCCTTTGGGGAACTCAAATTAGTTGATAGAGCTGGGAAAGAGAGTGTGAGGCTATGATGAGGGTGAGAATGTAGAGGTAAGCCAGATCACAAAAGGCCTTTGAAGCTGGGATACAGATTTTGGACTTCATCCTAAGGATAATGGGGACCTCTAAAGGCTTGCAAACAGAAAGTCATCATGAGGTTTGTGCTTCAGAATGATCATTCTGGTTGTGGAGAGTGGATTCTAGAGAAACACTCCTGGAGGGAGGAAGAGCAGTGAGGAGGAGGCTTTTGTAGTGGTCAACACAACTGGCCCAGTAAACATGAGTCCTCTCCCATTAAGTGGTGCCCTGGCCAGGTAATGGCAGTAATAGTTGGACAGTCAAAATTTTTGAGAGGTAGAATTGGCAGGGCTTGGGATTGACAGGCATCTGGGAGTTGAGGAAGAGGCAAGGCTGACTCCTAGGTTTCTGGTTTGGGCAAAGGCTGGAGGTGCCATACACTGTCAAAGGTAACATCAAAGCTGTTAGCACATAGTTTCAGGCACATAGTAAGTACTTGGTGATGATTAGCTACACTTTCATAAGTTCAGTTTTAGATGTGTGGTGCTAGACAAATATCCAGTAGGGAGTGGGATATGTGGGTCATAAAAAGACTCAATGTGATAATGTGCATAGGCATTAAGAGTAGTGCCCTGAACACAATAGGCCCAGTAAACTTGAATCCTCTTCCATTAAGTCTCATGAAAAGAAAACACAATAGTACATTTATTACTGACACCCTTCAGGGAAGACTTCAACTAGGGTTGGCATCTGAAGGAAGTTTAGATGGCACTCAGAAGAGCTTTTTGATGGTCTCTCTTTCAGTCAATCTACTGTATTAGTTGGCTCCTAAGACACAACAAGCCCCCACCTCTCACAACAGCTTCTTGGTTTATGAGCTCAATGGAACCCCACAACTACTCCCTGAGGTAGTCTGAGCAGGCATTATCATTCCCATTTTACAGATAGGTAAATTTGAGACACAATGACTTGCTCAGGGTCCTACAGTTGGTAATGGGCCATCCATGTCTGGAACTGAGGTCTTCCTGACTCCAAAGCCTGGGATCCTTTCCTGTGCACCATCATGCTAATTTATTGAGCACTTACTATGTGTCGGAACACTATCAGACCCTTTATGAGTCTGACCCTTAAATTAGAATCATCATTGCCCTTTTATAGAGAAGCAGAAATTGAGCTTGGGTGGATGTTAAATGACTTGCCAGAGATCACACAGACAAGAGAAGAGCTAGATTAGCTTGTAACTCTCCAGCTGCTCAGTAGCAGAGATTTTACCAACCCCATTGTGAGACGCTGGCTAGTGACAGAGATGGATACATAAAGTTAGGCTCAAACCAGGTAAATTCAGTTTCAGAAACAAATAAATAAAAGGCGGCTACGCGGCGCCTGCGCACTAGCCACAGGGGCGGGGAGGTCAACGCGGGGGCGACAGTGTGGTCGGGCCAAAGAGGGCGTGTCTGCTTCCCAAACACCGACATTCCCCACGGTGCATGTCTGTCCCTTGGTTGGCTCGCCGGCCCCGAGTGACGGCGCCTCTTAACCAATCACCGCAGTTCTCAGCCCTTTACACAGTGAAGCGCCGCCCTCCTGTCCACGGGTGTGGATTTACAGGTGGGTGGGACCGGAACTGACGCTACAAGGGATTGCTAAGCTCTGGGAGTGTTGATATTTTCCTGTCAGTCCAACTGACAGCGGCCAAGTTGGAAGCCTGGAAGGGAAGCGCTTTTGAAATTGTCGTGCGCGGGGCTGGTCAAGGTGTCCTGCCTGTCGCTGTACCGCCGCCTGCGAGTCAAAGCCTCAGGGAAAGAAGTCAAGAGCAGGACGGCGCGGACAGAAGAAAGGCCAAGAACCGGGGCGCCGACTTTGAGTGAAATCTGAGACGGAGGGCACGGGAGGGCGATCGCTCACCTCTGATTGGCCCTTGGGCGTCAGCGAGGACCCACGCAGCCACTTCGATAGGTTGGTGCCCGCGATTGTTGTGGCGGCGGCGAGGATTTTGCCCACGTACTTCCGAGCCAGAGGCGGGGCTGTGCTCTGGCGCGCTTGCGCGGCGCCCCTGGACCCCACCCGGTAGTTCAAGAACCTGCGAGGGGGCGGGGCGAAGAGGTGCTTGTTTTGGTTCTGTCTCCCTGGAACGGGAAGGCCGGAAAGAGCGTAACAATCAACTTGCCGAACTCCGAGAGTCCGAGAGTCGGCGACGACACTCGTCGCGCTGCCTTCACCTTCGACTTCACATCCGGGTTCTTCCGTCGCGTGACCTGCGCGTCGCCTACGGCTCTCGAACCGGTGCCTCAATCTCTTTATCCAGGCCCGCCGATCCCGTGGTGCTCCGCGCACCACTTTAGCCCCTCATCCGGGTTCTGTCCCGGCGTGCCGCGCGCCGGGTTTGCTGGGGGGGTACTCGGCGGTGCCGCCATGACTATTCTCCCTAAAAAGAAGCCGCCGCCTCCCGACGCCGACCCCACCAACGAGTCGCCGCCGCCCGGGCCGCTGCCCCCGGCGCCGCGCCGCGGCGGGGGTGTGGGCGTGGGCGGTGGCGGCTCGGGCGTGGGCAGCAGCGACCGCGACCGTGAGGCGGGTGTCGTGGGGGCCCGTCAGCGGGCCTCACCGCCGCCCCAGGGCCAGCTGCAGGGGCCACCGGGGGCACTTCACCGCTGGGCGCTGGCCGTGCCGCCTGGCGCCGTGCCGGGTCCCCGGCCCCAGCAGGGCTCTCCTCCTCCGTGTGGGGGCCCGGGCGGTCCTGGCGGCGTTCCGGGCGATGCTCACGGTGCAGCGGCAGCAGGTGTAGGCGCGGCTGGCGTGGTGGTGGGCGTGGGCGGCTCGGTGGGCGTGGGCAACTGCTGCTCCGGGCCCGGCCACAGCAAGCGGCGGCGTCAAGCCCCCGGGGTTGGGACGGTTGGCGGGGCCAGTCCGGAGCGTGAGGACGTCGGCGCAGGTTACAACAGTGAGGATGAGTATGAAGCGGCTGCAGCGCGCATCGAGGCCATGGACCCTGCCACTGTTGAGCAGGTAGGGGCTGGGAATGACAGGTGAGCGGGTAGGGTGGATGGTATGCCCAGGCTGAGTAGGGACCCAGGGGACTTGCACGTCACCTCCCTGAGCCTGTCATTGTTTTTCTCTGGTGGTAGGGGCATGAGACACCATGTTTACCTGCCCCTTTTCCCCAAGGTCTTGAGGTTAGAGGCCCGAGATAAGACGAAGGACTTAAAGATGGTGTTTGTGGTCTCTTTTGGGTCCTGGGACCTCATTTTGTAAGGCCAGTAGGTGGGAACTCCCCAGGAGACAGAGGCAGGATGAAATGCCTCCCGGGAGGGGAGTCTCATGACTCTCCAAGGGACCTTGGTCTGTGTTTGGTGGCGTGAGATTTGTTTTTCACTGAGACACAAGTAAGGTTGACACCTCAGATGTTTGAGTGATCCCAAGATATCTAAACCCTTTCAGGGATGTGAGACATTCTGTATAGGACAACCCCCCCTTTCCTTCTCAGGGGGACACAGCACAGGACCCTTAGCAGTGGGGTCTGACATTTCTTCAGGGGTCCTAAGACTGCCTTCAATGGCCTGAGACTTTTCTAAAATCAAGGCCCTGAGACACACATATGCATCCCCTTTAGTGTGAGGAATCTTCTGAGCTTTTCTCCAGGGATATGACTTTTCTTGGGGAGATAAGATTCCCTTCCCCTTGGGGACAAGAGCCAAAACCAATAGCCAGGGACCAGAAACTCTGCTGGGGTACAGGAGACTCGTTCTCTTAATTGACAAGGGTCTGTGCTTCCTCTCAGTATCTGAGACCTCCTTGGGCACAAGAGTCTGAATCTCTCTCCAGGAGATAAAACTTCTTTTAAGTGATAGACCTTTGGCCCCTCTCCCCCACCCCCACCAGGCCTGAGGCTTTCTTCAAGAAAATGAGACTCACTGTTTTGGATACTGGAGCCTAAGATTCCCCCTGCTTAAGGAGTCAGGCTTTCAGAGACTGGGTGTGAGGCCTCTTCAGATATCACCCCTCAGAGATCCCAGGCAAAGTGAATTCTTTAGGGGACCTTTCTTCTCAGGGCCTGGTATCTGAGTGATTTTCTTGGGGGGCCTGAGATGCCACCACCCCCGTCCACACACAGAGAGGTCTATGGGCTTCTTCTACCCAGTTAGGAAGGACGTAATAGCCCCCTCCCCCCTGTAATAGAGATCTAAGTACCCCCCCTCCCCCTAGTGTCAGGGATGTTAAGATTTCTGCCTTGGGAACTCAATCCTGAGATCTAGGCAGTGTGGAGTCCCAGAGATGGAGTCTGAGGCCTTCCCACAGACCTAAGCCTGCCTTCAGGGGCCTGAGACCCACTGTGCTAAGGACACTTGAGCTTTCTCTCAAGGGCAAGAGGCCCTTACCCCAGTGACTGCTTTGTCTCTACAGATGAGATCTGAGCTCAGGCATAGAACCTACCACCAGAATTAATTCCTGAGATCCTTCCCTTGGGGGCATAGGTACAGCGTTCCTGGGGAATATGGTCCTGAGTCTCCCATCCCTGCACAAGAATTTGAACTTGTCCGCACGTACATGAGACACCTCCCCCGCCTTAGGACCTGAGACCTGGGCCTACCCTGATAGTATTGACTGTTACCTCACTTCAGACAGCACACATAAACCTGAGTCATAGCGGCCTTTTAGGGGCATGAGATTTCCTGTCTGTGAACTAAGTCCTAAGAACTGCCCTCTCCCCTTGGGGACATAGGTGTGGTGGGATTCTGAGGAAAAGAATCTGAGCCTCCTCCCAGGGACCTAAGCTTCCCCTTAGGGACAAGAGCTCCTTCACTTCAGGGAGTGGTCTAGGCCCTACCCTGCCATGGGTGTGAAGCCTCCTACAACCAGGCAATCTTATCACCAGGGAGAAGGACATGAGGTCCTCCCAGTGTGGCCTAAGGCTTTCCTCACTGCACAGAAGTACCTAGGTGCTCTTAGCTTCAGGCCAGGAAGGTCTCCTTACTTTCTCTCAGAAGGATGTCAGTTACTGGGGACAGGGGACTGAGGCCTCCCCTCAAGGACTAGCAGATACTCAGAGACTCAGGCTGACCCAGCTCTGCTTGCTTCTCATTTCCAGGATCAGGGAAATATTCTGAGCTTCCTGAATTGCTTTCAACAAGCTTTTTTTCTTCCCAGCGACGGGAAAGAGGTCTGGGACATCCCCACTCCAGGGAAATTCTCCACCCATATCCCTGTCCCCCTTGGCTCAAATAAATCTTTCTGTACTTCGCAGGGGCCTGGGCCTTGTCTTGAGTCCCCTTCCTTGTTGCCTTTCCACCCATTACTACTCCAAGCAGGATCAATTATCTCTGGATCCACTGAGTCAGGACCAAGAGTTGTTTCTTCTCTCCCTGGTTTGGGGTCAAGCCTGCCTTTCTTCCTTCACAGGGAGAGAGACATCCCTGGTCCCAGGGACAGAGAGGAAGAATGTCACATGTTGCCATGGTGACTAGAATGACACCTCCTTACACCCCCTTTGCATCTCGTAGGCTGGGAGTTCCTCCGTTATACTTGTCCCCATAAGAACTTGGGAGTAAAGCTCTGTGGTTGCAGGATATCTTCCCTTCCCAGCTAGAGGAAAAGCTTCCTCTCCTCGCACGTCTTGGGTTAAAAGGAGGAAGATGCTTCTCCCTGCCACACCTGGTCCAAGTTGGGACCCTCCGGGGACGTAAGAGGGGGACTGTCTTCCTGCTACCCCAGTCTTGGTCCTGAACTGTCACTGGGGCATTTGTATCCTGGAGGCCAATTAGAGCCCTAGGAAAGGGGAGTTGTGGAGAGGGAGCCCACATGGTGAATCTGGTCCTTGTTCTGGCTACTCAGACTTCCTGTTTGTCCCGATGCTGTGACTGTACCTCTGTTGCCTTTAGGAACCCCTTTGGCAACTTAGGCTCAGGGGTTTCCTTTCCCAGGCATGGCCGCCTTACTGAGAGTCTACCGCAGGGGTCCTCAAACTACAGCCCGCGGGCCACATGCAAATACAAATATTGTATTTGTTCCCGTTTTGTTTGTTTACTTCAAAATAAGATATGTGCAGTGTGCATAGGAATTTGTTCATAGTTTTTTTTTAAACTATAGTCCGGCCCTCCAACGGTCTAAGGGACAGTGAACTGGCCCCCTGTTTAAAAAGTTTGAGGACCCCTGGTCTACTGTATGAAAAGAATGGCTTCAGAGCATCCTCAGCTTGAGGACCCCACAGAGCATTCTGAGAATGGGGCATGCACACCAAGGTGGTGGGAGAGGCTGGGGCTGGCAGGATAGGCAGGGTGCCTGGGTTCCCATTCAGGCTCTGCTGGGGCTTTGCTGGGTGACCAGCAAAGCCCCTGCTCTGTGGGCCTCTTTCCCTATTGGTCAGGTAAGGAGCTGGTGGGTGTCATTTAGGTTTGGGATTTTAGAGAGCTCACACCAAAGCCCTCTGGACTTGGAGGTGACAGAAAATGGTGGGTGTCTTTTGAGAAAGAACTGGGTTTCTCCCTGTCTCTCCCCTGCCCCTGTGTTTCTTCCTCGTCATCCAAGGTTGGTGGGCAGGACAAGCAGCCTATTTGGTGTGAGGCTCAGGGTTTGTTTTTTTGGTCACCTGTGCTGTGGTGAATAAACTCGGGGTTGCCTGTTAGGGGGCCTATTGGATGGTGTGGAGGTAAGGCTGTGTGTGGAAAGAATTGGGCCTTTTGAACTGGGCAGGCCCAGGGTCGTCTGCATAGCTATTTGATAGCTTTGGGCAAACTCTCAGCTGCCTTTTTTTTTTTTTTTTGCAAAAGTCCACCCATGCCCAGTGATTGAGTGTGTGAGTACCTGGCTGACCCACCTCAGACCTTGGCTGATGCTTCTCTTGCAGTTTCCCCAGGATCTTGCACTTGGGTTCTTCCTAGGAGCCTTTGTAACCTGCCGACTCCTCTAGTGGGGAGGCAGAGTATAGCAGAAAGTGGTCCCTGTTTGGTGGTCTGGGTTTGAGTCCTGTATCTTTGGGCAGTTCTCTTTCTTGGGGTCTCAGTTTCTCTATCCATAAAAT